TATATATATATATAAACTTTGAGTTAAATCTTTGTTTTTAAATCTTTGTTTTTAACGTTCTGAAACTGTTCTTAAGACCTGAGTGCTCACATTTGAATTTTCATTGTCAGAAAGAGCAAAATCTATCACATTTAATAAGTCCACATGAACTGTGCTCGTCAGGCACGTCTTGTTTCCGTTTGTCACTCCTTCCAAAAGCCATATATTTTTTCCCCTCCGAACATTTATTCTCCCTAGGAGCGAGAGCGAGCGTGGCTTCGTGAACGCGCACAGCCAACAAGGCAATAAAATATGGAGGAGAAACGAGGAGAACTTAAACAGCTTGCTCGTCACTCGTCGAGGGTTCAAAAAAGGTCGCCGTAAATCTCGCTCGGCGAACTCAACGATTGTGCGCGTGCACGACCACGTGCGTGAGCGTGTGTGCGCGTGTGTGTGTGCGTGTGTGTGTGTGTGTGTGTGTGTGTGTGTGTGTGTGTGTGTGTGTGTGTGTGCGTGTGTGTGTGTGTGTGTGTGCTACGTTCTCAGTTTTTTGCTTCAAGTTTTGCAGTTTTTGCGCGAAAATGCTGCCAAGTGCCAACTTCGAGCATACAAACAGGCCCAAACTATGTTCACACACACACACGCGTGGCAAAAAATAATGATCCCGCATGCAGCCCCGCCCCTCGAGGCGAAACAACTACTGTACATATATCACGCATGCTGCCTTCGCCGTCATGCAGAAAAGTCAGACAACTCACCTCTTCTGTGTGATATGAATGTGAGGGGTGCAGGAAAAAGTTGAGGAGAGTGGATGGATGGATGATGATGGGATGAAGGCGCGACGAGAAATGAAGGGGCTGATTTTAGAAGACTTTTTGGGGGGGAGAGGGTTGTACAGAGAAAGTCTCTTTATAAAATAAAGAATGTGAGGAGCTCCTTCCTGGGACAGATTGCGAGTGTATGTGTGTATGGGGCATAAGGGGAGGGTGCTGTTTGGAGGAAGGGGGGGGGGTGGCTTGTGAAAGGCTCGCCGGTTAAAAAGCGCCGCTTGAAGCACTCAACGCGTCTCTGAACTTGATCAGATTGTATGCGTCCTGCAGAGAGTCAGCAGTATTCCTCTGAAACATGCTCAATGCTTTTTTTACCCACCCCCCTCCAAAAACTCAGGATATTACGATTACTGCCATACTGCCATCTTTCTGTCTGTCTTTTATCCCCCCCCAACACACACACACACACACACACACACACACACACACGCACACACACACACACACACGCTCACAAAAACCCTCCCTTCAGCACCCCCTCCCTCAGTCTTACACCCTTTTGAGATTGTCTTTAAAAAAACACCAACTCCCACTCCCAAAACCTCTTAAACTGCTTCATGAAAACCACAATCTGGAATTATGCCAGAAATAGTTTGATCGATAGATAGATAGATAGATAGATAGATAGATAGATAGATAGATAGATAGATAGATAGATAGATAGATAGATAGATAGATAGAAAGTTATGTGAGAAAATCTCATTTCAGACCGTCCCTGAAGGCAACACCTGATTCCATTAGCTGGTTTTAAAACATGAGATAGCTAGCTTTTCATTCTTCATTTCAATTCACGCGCTTTGTCTCGCGTGCTCTCCATCCTGTTACGCAACAGGGTTAGCGTCCACAAGTTGAAGTAATTCGGGGGTTGGTGGCGTCCAAGTTGGGTTCGGGCTGCGCGTTCCCCCCACTGGCGCTCGTAGCAGCAAAGGCTCGTATTTACCTGCAAAATAACGCCGGCGAGAGCCAATCAAAAGGAGGCAGCTGAGTCGAGCTGCCATCCTCAATAGGCAACGCTGCCAATCAAAGGAAATCCGGCCAATTAGCGGCCTGGCTGAGAATCACGTGTGAGGTGGGAAGTCGGTCCGCGATTGGCTGTCGTAGCACTGCCTCCCGAGTTCATTTATGTTCTGGGAGTGAGTGATTGACTTTATCAGTCCAAGGACATCATCCGCCTGGAAAAGGGGGGAAGTTTGATCCTCGTTCTCACGGAGCGCGCTCTACGGGAGTTTTACAAATTCCTCCCAACTCTCGAGAAGGATTCTTCCCCGTTTTCGGGGTGCTCATTTTTGGGGGGGGTTCGATTTTTTTTTTCTTTACGGTGCGGCAAATCTCGGCGCGGCGCTTGCAGCTTGCGCAATCCGCTAAACTGGATTTTAAATTTATTTCCTCTTAAGTTTTTTTTTTTTTTTGCCCCCTCACCCCTCCCACGTTCATGACTATGCTTCTCGATAGCGGTCCGCAGTTTGCGTCGCTAGGAGTGGGCGGCTTCGGAGCACCAAGGCACCACGACATCGGCAACAGGGACGCGAGCCTGGGACTCAATCCGTTCAGCGAGTCCTCGCATACGGCGGCGTTCAAAATCAGCCCCGTGGGCCACGACATCGCCTCCGGTCAGACTTCAGCCTTCACTCCACAAGCCGGCGGCTATGCGGCGGCCCTGGGACACGCGCACGGCGGCCAGGTGGGCTCGTACGGCGGGGGGCCGTTCAACTCCACGCGGGACTTTCTCTTTCGGAACCGCAGTGTCGGGGAGTCGGCCGCGCCGAGCGCGCAGCACGGGCTGTTCGCAGCCTCGGCCGGCAGCCTCCATGGGCCGCCGGGGATCGCGGATAACCCGGGACATCTGCTCTTCCCCGGACTCCACGAGCAGGGGGTGAGCCACTCGTCGCCGAGCGGTCACGTCGTCAACAGCCAGATGCATCTCGGCCTGCGCGGAGACATCTTCGGGCGAGCCGACCCGTACCGGCCGGTGGCCAGTCCGCGCGCAGACCCGTACGGCGCGGCGGCGGCGGCGCAGCTGCACAACTACAACCACCCCATCAACATGAACATGGGCATGAATGTACCCAGCCACCACGGGCCGGGGGCCTTCTTTCGCTACATGCGGCAGCCCATCAAGCAAGAACTGTCGTGCAAGTGGATAGACGAGCACCAGATGAACAGACCCAAAAAGACGTGCGACAGGACGTTTAGCACCATGCACGAAATGGTCACGCACGTTTCCATGGAGCACGTCGGCGGGCCCGAGCAGAGCAACCACATCTGCTTCTGGGAGGACTGCCCCCGGGAAGGAAAGTCTTTTAAGGCCAAGTACAAACTCGTCAACCACATCCGAGTGCACACGGGCGAGAAGCCCTTCCCGTGCCCTTTCCCGGGCTGTGGGAAAATATTCGCCCGCTCGGAGAACTTGAAAATCCACAAAAGAACGCACACGGGTAAGGCCAATACACCGCGCAAAGTGCGCGTTTGTGCTAAGTTGTGTGTTGTTGGAACGTGAGCGTGCGTCAAGTGCGCGTGTGTGCGGTCCGCTCGTGTGCGTGCACAGTTGGAGTGGAGTTGTAAACTGTTGCTTCACTGTTGACTAAAGTGAGAGTAGACGCGATGAATAAATAAAAGCTGACAGAAGCAGCGTTTAGCCCAGTTGTGCAGCCAAAAATGTAGGTTACGCTGTTATATAATAACGCAGTGCGCACACACAACCGGCACACGCGCCGGTTCGCGCGTGCGCGCGGGTGTGTGCGCGTGCCTGTGTCTGTGTGAGTGTGTGTCTGCACGCGTGGCCATCTACTGTACATGACTTGCGTGCGCCTGTCCCCCCCCCCCACCCCACCCCCTGGTCGTCAGGTGAGAAGCCGTTCAAGTGCGAATTCGACGGCTGTGACCGCCGTTTCGCCAACAGCAGCGACCGGAAGAAGCACATGCACGTGCACACGTCGGACAAGCCGTACATCTGCAAAGTGTGCGACAAGTCCTACACGCACCCCAGCTCTCTCAGGAAACACATGAAGGTAATTAACGTCTTCATTAGATACATTAGCGCGCAGACGCAGCTCGCACGCAAGTAACGCTTCTTAAATAGCCCGTCCCCCTTTTTTTGGGGTGGGGGGGGGGGTCACCTTTAGTTTACCGCTTACTTAATGCAATTCAGTTTAAAACTTTGGTTTGATTTCTCCCCTCATGACCGAAGGTTCACGAGTCCCAAGGGTCCGAGTCGTCCCCGGCAGCAAGTTCCGGATACGAGTCGTCCACACCCCCGGTTCTGGGCTCGGCCTCCAGCGAAGACCCGACAAAAACGCCCCCGTCAACCGTGCAAAACACAAACGGACACAGCGAAGGGCTGGCGCCGAACTTTAACGAATGGTACGTTTGAAGGGGGAGAAACAAGGAACCGGCTGAACTTCGACGTGCACGGATGTGGAATTTAAAACAACTAAGACTTTTCCTGACCACACACACACGCACACACACACACACGCACACACACGCACACACACACACACACACACACACACACACACA